ATTTGAGTACCAAAGTTGTGGAAAGCATGGACTGTCTCAAGGCTACAAGTCCATCTCCAGACATCTTAACGTTCCTGTGTCCACTGTGCACAACACTGTCAATAAGTTTAATATTTTAGTTTAATTAGTTTGATTTTAGTTTAGTTTAAAGAAGTTTAATAGTTTCAAATAAAAGAACACTGTCAAACATTGTGGAGGTGTTACTGATATTTTGGGGTTGCTTTGCTGCCTCAGGCACTGGATTTCTGAATCAGTGTCAGAAAGCTGGGTCTCTGTCAGAGGTCATGGGTCTTACAGTAGGACAATAACCCAAAGCATGTTTCAAAAATAACCCATAAATGGTTTTTAGACAAAGCACTGGAGAGTTCAGAAGTGGCCAGCAATGAGCCCAGATCTGAATCCCATAGAGCACCTGTGGAGAGATCTCAAAACAGCAGTTGGGAGAAGAAACACTTCAAATTTGAAAGACCTGGAGCAGTTAACAAAAGAACAGGGGTCCAAAATGCCAGAGCTGTAAGAAACTCATTGATGGTTAAAGGAAGCGATTGATTTCCATAATTTTTTTTCCAAAGGGTGTACTACCAAATATTAAGTTGAGGGTGTCAATAATTTTTTCCAATACATTTTTGGAGTTATGTGTAGAATGTCTCAGATTTGTCTTTTTGTGTGTGTGTGTGTGTTGTTCCAATACAAACAAAAGAAATAAACATGAGATTATCAAAGCATTTGTAATTGCAACAATTTTCTGGGAGAAGTACCTGACAGAAATGCAGGGGTGCCAATATTTTTGTCCATGACTGTGTGTGTGTGTGTGTATATATATATATATATTGCTTGTTAACGTTATTAACGAAATGTCTGCTTATGTTATGCTAGCATTTTCATATTAGAGGTCCCTGGATTGGCAGAGAGTCTGAGTGGGCATCCCTGGGTTCCAAAATGTTGCCAACCACTGATGAACCTGTTATAGCATATAGTTTTACAATGGCAAAATACTTCCGCGCTCTCTAGTGACCAGTACATGTAAACACAAAGTTTTCTTTTTCCCTGGAGGCTACACTCATTATAGCATACTACTAGTAGTGATAGTGTGCTAGTGGTGTACTGTTCACAATATGCAAATCATTTTCATTAATATATATATTTATATAAATGGATGGCCTACTACATTTGGAAAAACTTACAGTATACAATCAAAGCATACTGCACATTGACTAATTTATCCCACAATGCAACAAACCCGTCCTGACTTACCATTTGAAACATATCCAAATTTCTACAAACATCTACATTCTGCAAACATCTACTCTGACTCATTAATTGATTGACCTGCCAAAAGTAAACATTTTCCACTGCAAAAAAAAGTTAAATAAAGGGGTCATATGACGTTGCTAAAAATAACATTATTTTGTGTATTTGGTGTAATGAAATGTGTTTATGCGGTTTAAGGTTAAAAAAACACATTATATTCCACATACTGTACATTATTGTTTCTCCTCTATGCCCTGCCTTTCTGAAACTCGTAGATTTTTACAAAGCTCATCATTCTGAAGAGCGAGGTGTGCTCTGATTGGCCAGATATCCAGTGCGTTTGTGATTGGCCGAATACCTCAAGCGTGTGATGAAAATGTTAGGTCCCTTCCCATGATGCCGTGTCCCGGTGTGACGAGACAAAACCAATAAAACCCATTACAAACAAGGCATTTGTAGCATCCAGTGGGGACATAATTACTGATTATAATGACTTATACTGTCTTTTTAAATGTTGCGCTGCATCGCACCGCGTAAACATAAAACCATGTCTGCATCTGTGATAGGAGAAATAACAAACAACAAGCGCTACTCTACACTGCTCAAAACTCGCGTTTGAATCGTCATTGGCAAATTCTTTAAATATGAAAACGTACTTACGGGCTGTGAGTCAGCATTATTTGTCAGAACACCGGCATTGTAGACTACTCTCCCAGGAAACAGTCATCATACTCCGTAAAATGTTCTGCACACATCTTAATATTTAGGTTGAACTGTTCTGGAACAGTGTTGTAAATACAACTTAACCACTGATTTCTAGTCGTGTCCTCTTTTGGAAGGCCAAACAAAGTAGTTTCACTTTCACAACAAAACACAGCGTCGGCGGCAGCAACAGTACTACAGCGAGAATCAAAGTTACGCCTTTCTTTGTGTAAACATTTGGGCGGTGTTCTGCAAATCTTCCCACACAGTGACGTAGACATGTGGGGTTGTGTTTAAACGTGGCGTTTTAGGAGGGCGTGGACCAGTCTTAACTTTTATAAAGAATATCTCTTTGGGTTTGAGACTTTAGTCTTTGCAACTTTAGGGATCTTATCTATTCACGAACAGCTTGTAACACTCCAAAGAGAAAGGAAAACTTGAAATCGCATAAGACCCCTTTAAATAATTGTATCTAATTCTGAGATAATTTTTCCTTTTGTTCTATATTGCATGTTATTTCTCAAATGTTTAATTGTATGCAGTATATGCAGAGCAGAATTCAATACAATTGTATTTCTTTTTTTGCTTGTTTGTTTTGAAAGATTTTCTTTTTTTTTTTGTTTTGTTCAGCAAGGATGCGTTAAAGGGGTCATATGATGCGATTTCAAGTTTTCCTTTCTCTTTGGAGTGCTACAAGCTGATTGTGCATAGATAAGATCCCTGAAGTTGCAAAGACTAAAGTCTCAAAACCAAAGAGATATTCTTTATCAAAGTTAAGACTCTGCCACGCCCCCCTAAAACGGCTCGTTCTAACACGCCCCCACATATCTACCTCACTATGTGGAAATTTTAGCATAATCCCGCCCAAATGCGCACGCAAAGAAAGAAGGCGTGGTTTCAGTAACCGCAGTTAGTTTTGAAGCAGCCATGTCAGGGAGACGCTGTGTGTTTCTAGGCGAAAGCAAAGGCACTTTATTTGGCCTTCCGAAAGTAGATGCATTTAGGAATCTTTAAGATCACTTACAACAGAACAGCAATGCATTTTATGGACGACCGTTTCGTGAACCTAGGAGAGGAGGTAATTCTGACTTTGCTATGACAATCTGGCGCTTCTGAATCAGCTACTGTTTTGTTATTAGTTTAAGTATTTGCTATTGACTGTTCAAATGCGGAGTATTGTGCATCGTGTGTGTGTGTGTGTGTGTGTGCGAGAGAGAGAGCGAGACACATCAGTGGAGTCAGCTGTCTTAAAAATAATGTGTTTTTTGAACATTAAAGCATGTCAACATATTCTGTTACACCAAATACACAAAATAATGATCTTTAAAAAAGCATCATATGACCCCTTTAAATTGATCAAACATGACAGTAAAGACATTTATAACATTATGAAAGATTTCCATTTCAAATAAATACTGTTCTTAGTAAGTTCCTACAAAAAAGCAAAATTGTTTTCAATAAGAAATAATGTTTCTTAAATACCAAATCAACACATTAGAATGATTTCTAAAGGAACATGTGACACTGAAGACTGGAGTAATGCTAAGTGATGTGTGGCCAAGTATGGTGACCCATACTTTGCAGATCACTTGGTTCAGTGTGAGGTCAGATCTGGTCTGGTCCAGTCAGGTCTGGTTGTAAGGCTCATTTGTGTGTGGAAGGTCACAGGAGGGGTTTGATAAGGTAAATCTTCTCTCCATGTTCGCTAGTGAAGATGGGAGCTTTCTTGTAGTGCTCTAACAGTTCATCCATAGCATTGAAGCGGCGTTGACCGATACAGTAAACTCCATTCGACAGCTGCACTTTGAAGTGTTTGTTCTTCCCAACTGCTTTTAGAGACACTGAGAAATCACTCGGCTAGAGAGGAGAGAGAAAGAAACAGAATTTCCATTTAGTGAATTTCAGCCTAGAGATGGCGCCATAAGCCCTAGATTCCTGGCGCCTCCCCAGCATTGCACATTTTTGATGTCTTTCTTATTTAACATTAAACTGTAAATGTCAAGCTTTTAAAAATGTACTCTTTGCAATTATGCTGGTTTCATATGGTTTTGAAAAACTTTTTAAAGAAAAGTTTAAACATTTTCCTCATACACAGGAATGTACACATCACAATCATTTGTTTTTATTTGCAAATGTTAAAATGTACTTTTTACAAACATCATTAATTTATAAATATTAAACTTTTAGGTCATACCACATGACAATTTTACAACAAACTAATCTTGACTTGTCAAAGTATCTGACATTTTAAGTTGTCCACAAAATGATGTCTAATGTCTAATAAATAACATATAAATGAAACAATTAGAATAAATGACTAAAAGCCAGGCAATTTTATCTTTAAAACTCTTTTAACTGTGAAGTGACCTTTAATTTGAAACAAAAGAAACCAGGGGAGTGGGGACTGACTTTATTGCATTAGCGATGCCACATTGCTCACAAATGATTGGTCCAATTTCAGTGGCGGCGTTGACCGATACAGTAAACTCCATTCGACAGCTGCACTTTGAAGTGTTTGTTCTTCCCAACTGCTTTCAGAGACACTGAGAAATCACTCGGCTAGAGAGGAGAGAGAAAGAAACAGAATTTCCATTTAGTGAATTTCAGCCTAGAGATGGCGCCATAAGCCCTAGATTCCTGGCGCCTCCCCAGCATTGCACATTTTTGATGTCTTTCTTATTTAACATAGCTGAATTAACTCATCAGCTGATTGACTTGAGCTGTATATATATATATATATATATACAGTAACAGTTTGAAAACAACTGCTCTAGATTGAAAAGCATGTTAATTTCAATGACATATGTCCACGATAAAGGAATGCATTAAACTGTAAATATCAACCTTTTAAAAATGTACCCTTTGCAATTATGCTGGTTTCATATGGTTTTGAAAAACTTTTTAAAGAAAAGTTTAAACATTTTCCTTATACACAGGAATGTACACATCACAATCATTTGTTTTTATTTGCAAATGTTAAAATGTACTTTTTACAAACATCATTAATTTATAAATATTAAACTTTTGGGTCATACCACATGACAATTTTACTGACCGTTATAGCTGCCCCTCCACCAGCCGTCACTGCATTTCTCCATCACCATCAGCCGGGCTCCCTTCACCAGGCTGAGCTCATCCTCCCGTTCTGCATTGTAGGTAAACTTCACCACCGCTGGTGTGTTCAGGTCATATATTCGTTCTACTCCGCCCCCATTAGACGAGTACTCATCTGTGCTCGGTGTTGGAGAGGCTTCCCGTGTGCTCGTTTTGCGTTTAGTTTTTCCCAAGCCTGAGAAAGAGAAAGAGAGAGGTAATTAGACATCAGACAAAGTCATTATGTAAAACGCAAGCCTCTGAGCTCTGCTAATTAGAAGTAGAGAAGAAAAGGGCAGGGATATTGATTAACGCTGTAAATTCATCAATACTAATAATTTCCTGCTGAAAGAAGACATGTGATATCATTACTGCAGCCCACCACATTTCCTCTTGGTGTCCTCTTTCTATCTTTCTCACATTCTTAAAACTCATCCATCACATCTCCAGTTGCTGCCAGCCATAAAAAAAATTGCATATATAGCGAAAATTTTCAGTTGGGTATGCATGTGTACTATTTTTTTTTTAAATAATATTGCGATTTAATATGCAATTATTTTTAAAGCTCTTTATGTTCTGTATTATTCAACAAAGACAAGCTATAAATCATTGTATAGTATGACCAACACAATATTAGATAGATTAAATGTTCGTTTCTGTAGGCCAGGCCTATATGTTACGATGAAAGTAGGTGATGCATGAATTGATATGAATTATATTTTTATTTAACAACTACAATCACAGTATATTGACTGATTTGTTGAATTTCCAACCTTGTAAGCATGTAATAATTATGACAACATAAAGCACTGACAAATAAGCCTGGTGTAAACATTAATATGAAAGTCAGTAACAAATCACACAAACTAAAATAGATTGCAGAAATATAAAAACAAATCTCTTGCTTTACCACACTACATTAGGTAATTCAAAGTCACTGTAATAAACATATGTAAACATGTGGACTGCACTTTTTAAACACTGTCTGTTAACTTTAGACCAGTGGTTCTCAAACTTTTTTGGTTGCGCCCCCCTTTAAACCTATAAAAAAAATTTTTTAAAAATCACAGAATCAGTTTTTGAACAGTAAGATTTTTAATGGTTTTTAAAGAAGTCTCTTCTGCTCACCAAGCCTGTATTTATTTGATCCAAAATATAGCAAAAGCAGTAATATTGTGAAATATTTTTACTATTTTAACTGTTTTCTATTTGAATATATTTTAAAATGTAATTTATTCCTGCGATTTCAAAGCTGAAAAATTATACTGACTCCAAGCTTTTGAATGGTATATGTATAATCATACAAAAGCTTTTTATTTCAGATAAATGCTGATCTTTGGATCTATTGGATCTTTCTTACTGTTAAAATTTTTTTGACTGGTAGTGTATGTATGTAGCCTATATATCACTCATATTAGGCTACATCTTGTTTTGGATACGAATAAAACGTCAGGTCCGACAATATCATGTCTTTTTTTATTTAAATCTAGCTTTATTCGCATTGGCCCATGGAAACCTCTATGAACACACTTGACTTGGCCAAAAAATCGTGGGGATGAATTTACGTTTTATTGAAAAGTGTTTACATATTCTACTCTCATGGCGCGAGCAAACATTAGGATAGGTTAGATGCCTGCCTCCGTTGCGAGTCCCTATCAAACACTTTACCGATTCAACTACTCTCTTCTTCTCCTCCTGCCTGGCTCTTTGGCCCGCATCACTCACCACAGAGCAAGCCTGTTCTTTATAATGCTGCTGTGAAAACGTGGGAATGTTTTCACAGCCGACGAGGAAGAAGTTGGGGTGATGCGATCTTTATATAGGCGGAGCAAAATACTTTATCGCTCCGTCTATAGCGCATTGTGATTGGGTGGTTTACGCTGTCAATACAGGAGACAAACCAATGGGCCACTGGCTGCTCCCTGTCCCTGCGTGATGGTCCTCTGCAAAAAAATAAACAAAAAAACATTTTGTCGGCCCCTTAAGTGCGTCGGCCTACCGGGAAAATGCCTGGTATGCCCGATTACCAATCCAGCCCTGGCGCGGACGTCTCCTTATGCTTTCTCTCACCGTATTTTGATGTTATACACTGATCGATCTTTAAGTCGAACACACCTCTTTACTCTCACATGTCATGTGACCGAGTGTAATCGCAGCCTCTGCGATTGAAAAATCTTGTTTTTTCATGTCGCGATATTATCCCAAATGCAATTAATCGTTCAGCCCTAATGTTTACCAAACAAATACAGTGTTGGTTTAACCACTGCATGTGCGTAACTTCATTGGAAACTTCCGGTTTTATATATTGTTGCTTTTGATAATAAACAGTCTCTTCTTTCAAATTCGGTTGCTTTCTTTTCAGGAAATTCAAACAGTAAATGCCGTTTTGACGCTCTTTGATGTAGCGCAACAGATCGCTGTATAAATGCCTCAGTTCAAACGGCAGCGCGAGCATCCCTTCCTCTTTACTACTAGTTTTAACACGAAATAAACATGAATGAACATCTCACGCCTAATGTAATCGCTTAATCAGTGTTTCAATCACGGAAAGACTTCAATAAAACAGCTTATAAACAAAGAGTTTATTTCAAAAACTGCATTGTGTGCAGTTTACAAGTTTGCATAAAATTTTTTTATTTGATTGTTGATTATAATTAAAAATAAACAGTAATTGAATTTAAGTTTGGGCTCTGTTGTTAATTGTAACCTTATAGTAATGTAGAGGTAGATTTTTTATCCCTAAGGACATTTTAATTATAATTTAATTTCTTTAAAGAGGGTGATTTTGCTGTACCGAAACTGTACGGAACCGTGACATCAAAACCGAGGTACTTACTGAACCATCATGTTTGTGTACCATTACACCCCTAAAATATATTTGTAATATATTTAAAAAAAAATTTCTGTGATCATGAAGCTGAATTTTCAATAGCCATTACTCGAGTCTTCAGTGTAGTTTATTTCAAAAACTGCATTGTGTGCAGTTTACAAGTTTGCATAAAATTTTTTTATTTGATTGTTGATTATAATTAAAAATAAACAGTAATTGAATTTAAGTTTGGGCTCTGTTGTTAATTGTAACCTTATAGTAATGTAGAGGTAGATTTTTTATCCCTAAGGACATTTTAATTATAATTTAATTTAATTTCTTTAAAGAGGGTGATTTTGCTGTACTGAAACTGTACGGAACCGTGACATCAAAACCGAGGTACTTACTGAACCATCATGTTTGTGTACCATTACACCCCTAAAATATATTTGTAATATATTTAAAAAAAATTTTCTGTGATCATGAAGCTGAATTTTCAATAGCCATTACTCGAGTCTTCAGTGTCACATGATCCTTCAGAAATCATTCCAATATGCTGATTATGCTGAAGGAAAACATTTCTTATTATTATAAAAAGTGAAAATAGCTATGCTGGTTCAAGAAAGTGTGGAAAAACAGATACAGTGTTTTTTTCCCCCAGGAACAAAATTTGAAGAGCAGCATTTATCCGGTGAATATTTTGTACCCTTCTAAATGTAATATTTGATCAATTTAATGCACTCTTGCTGAATAAAAGTATACATTTATTTTTAAAAAGTTCAAATATCTCATTGACTTTAAACTTCTAAATTTATAGTTTATACTGTGTTATTACACGGCTCTGTGGAATACTTGATTCTGATTGGTCAGTCACGACATTCCAAGGTATGTTATCCCTCGATAACAACCGGTAAAAAACGAATAACACAGGCTCATCCGGGTAATTGAAGTCGGCGCTATACGCTTGCTAGGAACTGTTTTTTCTTGGTGGAAGCTTTGCGTTTGTTTAGCTAATAAAATATTAAAACTCAATTTGAAATTGTGTACAATTATTTAATTATGTCATCCTGATATCGCAGACTTGCGCTCTCGTTTCATACAAATGCAGCTGCTGCCATTTTAAATTAAATTAAAATTATGAATTTAGCAGACGCTTTTATCCAAAGCAACTACAGTGCATTTAGACTATACATTTTTTATCAATATGTGTATTCCCTGTGAATTGACCTTTGCGCTGCTAAATCAATGCTCTACCACTGAGCCACAGGAACATTTTGCGACAATTGTTTTGTACGCTGTAACAAACTGGTCAGATTATAAAACATGTTCGTCTTAAATCTTTTATCGCCATAATTATTTATGTGGTGAAACGTTGTGTAATAAGTGGTTTGACAGCATCGTATCGTTTGAACTTGCCGCTTGCTCGCAACTGCTGTTCACGGAAGCTTTGCATTCAAATATTTCAACTCAAATAAATATTTCTTGTCTAATTGTTTACCTATGTTGCAAGCAGCCATGTAATAAGCGGGATAATGTGCATCCAGCCGGTTGTTGTTGCAGAATGACCCCCTTCAGGGTGATACAAGACTCTTCCGCTGTATTCTGCGATAACAACTGGCTGGATGTACATTATCCCTTACTTAAGACAATGTTGTCTAAATTTCATATAACCCTTGATAGCCCTAAAAATAGATTTAGTCTTTTTCTCTTAAAATTTCCAAGGAAAAGGCAGTCCACCCATATTTTTTTCTTTCTTTATTTCTCAGTTAAATCACAGCGTAAGAGGAAAACTGCTTTTAGTACAGAAAATAATGCACTAAAACAATGCTCTTTCTAAAACAGAGTGCAGGAGAGCCGTAATATTTAGGCCCATTTCACACAACACACATCCTTTAATAACGGCCACAATGAGAAGGCGGACCACATTTACACATCTAAACAATGAATAATTTACACAGAAAGGAACCCCAAACTGAAATGTAGATTTATACAGCTTAAATCACCTGGATTCAGTCAGACATGAACAGAAGGTGTTTGTGTGCCTATCACTGCATGTAAAACTTGCCCGATACATGTATTTTTTTCAAACAATAGGTGAGCAGTCCAATATTTTATGTTGCTGCATAAAAGCCTACATTGCAAAATATTGTGTTGATAAATAGGCTTGCAGTGCATTTTCAATTTGTTTTTTAAAGCACCAAATGCTTGCACCAATGCTATGCAGAGCTATGCAGATAAGTCCTGCTTATCTGGACATTCTGAATACTGCAACCTGTTAATATGGGCAGTGAAATAATGTATGTGATAGAGACCTCACCTCCGTGTTGCTTGGAGTATAAACACAATAAAATAAAACAAAACAGCAGAGACACTTAGCATAGTGACCC